CCAGGAATGTGTTGTTTTAAATTGTCTGATTTTTCTCAAACTATTCAAATTCAGTTAGACAATATCCATCATATCATAGATAAGTTTTCACAAATGCCTAGGGTGCCTAACTGGTTTTCTTGGCCTCACTGGAGATGGCTGGTAATTATAGATCTGCTTTGGTTATGTAACTGTATTCCTATTATGTTAATGTGTGTGTGCAATTTAGTAGTTTTAAACCTATACATGCTTAAGTTACTCTACAAGAAGATATGTCAAAGAAATAATCCATCTTCCCATGTTTTCTTCCATCTGCTACTTCTATAGCTTTTTTTCTTCCTTCTTAATTACAACCCTTAAATAGAATTCATGCCTCATACTGAATTTACCGAGTATCATAATTCTTCCAAGTGGTAAAGATACCTCAAGACAAATGCTGGGCATAAAACCCACAGGGCATAAATCTGCAAAGAAGTAAAAAGCTAACCTTTTCAAACAATATTGCTTCTCTCTCACTTACCAACTTTACATTTCCCTGTATGGCCCCAGAAGATGACTGGTTAGCCAGAGACGGGTAAGATTCCTCAAGGGAGGAACAAACTAAGACAGGCACAGTAGCAGGGGTTGCATCAGGTGAGAAATTGGGGATCAACAGAGGTGAGGCTTAGAACCTCACCGCCCCCTTTTTTGAGAGAAACCTTCTGCATCCGTGGATGTTTTGCTGCCCTTGTCTAGTTTGGATTAATACTTAGCTTATAGGCACACACCTGATCATCTACATTTGCTTTCTTACAGCACTAAATTATGTTTTCTACCTTCATCTTGCATCTACCTATCACTTCAGCATTTTATTTAAAGTAATAATAATAATAAGGGAGAAATGTGGGATTCACATATAAATCAAGTATAAAAATCAAACAAATATTCATATTTGACCTGATTGTTTATAGTTCATAATGCGTGATCAAAACCGAAAGTTTCTGTGATGACTGCCCTTGCACTGTTCACCATGTAAGAACTTATTCACTATGTAAGAATTTGTACACCATGTAAGAACTTGTTCATTGTGCTTCAGAAGATCCGAGACTGATGAGAATTAGACTTGGGGTGGATTAATGATTGTGCATTGAGTCCCCTGTACAGAATTTTATTGTTGTTAACTGTTAACAACCATTTGATCAATAAATGTGAGAGATGCCCTCTGAAAAAAAAAAAAGATACATTTTGTGCTTAGTGAGAGATTGTGTTGTAAAGCTCATGGTTAACAGAAATTATAAAATGTTCATATATTTGTCAATCCAAAGAATGCTAGTGTAACAGTTTATAATAGCCTACTTCTCAGTGTTCACTAAAAATTAAGGTACCTAATAGTTTTAAGTTCTAATTAAAACTACTTAAAGTAATAAGGAAAACATTTCTGCATGCTAAAGAATATGTCTTTTAATAAAAGAAAGTAACTTTGTTCTAAAGTACAGCTGTTTATTTAGAGGGAGAAATCTAAATGTAAAAAGGTAGAAAATTGGTGGAAGAATTTAATATGGTCATGCTATATAAAATTAAAGCAAATGAGTCTTGGTATCAAGTACACAGCAAAATTAGAATTTTGTTTTCAGTTAAAAAGACAAAGTTTTCTTAAATGTTAGTCTGCTCTTAATATTGAAAGATTGCAAAAAGTTCTGTTTTATCAAAGCAGTTTCTCGTTTAAAGTCTCAATGAGTTGTCCAAGTATTTAAGAAAATGAGATCTTAATATTAAAACGACTAAAAGCTAAAGTTTGCTAACAACTGTGTAACCTTCTTTATTTGCCTTTGAGGTATTTTGTTGTCATTCTGGTTAAATAGATAAGTATTGCTTCATAGCAACCTATAATCCTATTTAAGCAAGTCCCTTAAAACTTACAACAGCTTCCCAAAATCAAATTCAAAAAGGTACTTTTTACCTCTAGTTAACTCTGATATTTTCCAGAGGGCCCCTGGAACATGTCAGAGGAACTTTTTCTCATTGGAGAAAGTATTTGGCTAATTTAGCTTATTTATCTGATATATAATTACCTGCTTAAATACCTATAAAGCACTGTCAAAAGGAATAATGCTAAACTTTGTTACTGAATGTTTTGTTACAGAAATACCAGAATTTCCTTATGTCAACTGTCTTACAGTAAGCTCTCATCAGATCTTTAACCATTGTCATTTGCAAGTCTTTTATTATTTATAGTTACTGTTTTATTACTCTTAAGCTAGTAAAGAACTAGATTTCAGCAGAACAAGTATTAGTTATGTAAGATTAAGTAAACTAAAGATGATTTTGTGGCTTTTTGTTTCAAATGTTGCTGATAAAGTGTTTTAAACTTTTTCTCTTAAGCTGACAAGTTTAGTAAATGACTGCCTGTATAAGCAGAATTGAAACTTTATCTTTCTCTCTACCTGATCCCTCCAGAACTTAAAAACTCTCAGTGACTATTTTTATATTTCATGGCAGTATGTTTATTTTCACAAGTTCAATAAGAATCTGCTTTCCTCGTAAGAAGACCAATTAAAAACACTAGTTATATTACCAAAGCTTTAACTGGAACTTCATACCTGAGAGACACATGTGTAAACTCAGATATGAACAGACAACTTTAAAAAACTAAGATTGACTTTATAAAGCCAACAAAGCCCCTTAGAAGAACTGGCCTAGTACCTTGCTTACAAGGTTCTCAGCAGCCTTACCAGGTGAGTAAAGAAGGTCACTTCCTGGCAAGTGCAGGAACCTCAGGATGTCTTGAGAACCTCAAGAAGAGAAGAATTCACCCAAATGTACAGGTACTGCAGGCACAACCTGATGGCAAGTCTGGCTTAGCTTTCTGGCCTCAAGAGGCCTTTAAAAGTTCAATCTTAAATTCCTTACAAAAAGTTCCAGCAAAGCACATTTAAAAGAGCTTATGTAATTAATTGCTCTTCTTGCTGCACTTATGCAAATAAAGCCAACTGTTTATTATTTCTTAATCTGGCTACTTCTAATAAAAATAAGAGTGATTTTAGAGGAAAATATTGTTCCAATAATGCAGTCTTATCTATACTAAATTCTAATACTAGTCATTAAGATGTAAACTCGATCCAAAATTTTAGTTTCCCCATGATACCTGGCTATGATTCTCAATTAGACTCTTCATATTTCTAGTTCTCATATTCAGCCTTGCATTCTTAATCTCATCAAGTTTGTCCATCTAAAATAGAAGCACCAACCTTCCGAGGCCCTCTCAACTGACCAGTGATAGAAACCTAGCTGCACCCTTTACTGTGCCCCTTCTAAGCATGAAGCAGCCAGAGTGGTCGTCGCCCCTTTTCCCTGGCAGCAGCTAGAGTCTCTATCTGTAGAGGGGAAAATGAGACAGGGACCATAAGCTTAGACAGAATAATGTGAGATCCTCTGGAGAAAGCAAGGCAGGATATTTGCAGTCAGAGCAATGTAACTACATGCTATGAACCCCCCCACACGACGCCCCTTGTCAGCCAGAAGTAGCCAGATCAAGTCGTTGCCCATTATGACCAAAAGGCTGGAATGTAAGGTTGAAGGCACTGGGGGGAAGGGGGGAGCACGTCAGACAGTGATGACGTGCCAAAGTGCCTGGCTGCTACCCACTCCCAATCTGAAAAATGTGCCTTAGGCTAGCCAATCCTCGCATGGCTGTAAATCTAAGCTCCGCCTCCCCCTACCTTCTTTAAAAACTCACTGCCTGCCCTGCTGAGTGTGACTTCCCCAGCCTCCATTTCCATAGACTGGGGAACATCGCCCGGGCATTGCACTCAAATAAACTGCCTGGCCCTTTGTTGCCTCTCGTCGCCTGCTTATTTTGGCTAGAATTTATGTTATACATAGCACAGATGAAGATCTTGTACCAAGTGAGACAGAAAGTCTGAATTAGTCTGAGAATTAGAGAACAAAAAGAGGCTTTAAGTAAAGCAGTAAAACTTAAATACTTTAAAACATAATCACCTTCACTGCATTAGCAATGAAGGCTGTTCTTTCTTCAGTTTTTAAAACCCAATAGTTTCCCAAAAACATTATCCTTGTGATCATTTACTCATTTATTCTGGAAATATTTATCTATTTGAAACAAATACTGGTCACTGCCAGAGGAAAGAAAGCTATAAATAATGACTAATTCAGTCCTTTCATTGAAATTAAAGTGTATTTATTACATTGGAAAGTAAGGTTTCTTCATGTTGGCTGAAATAGATGAGTATGATTGTGGATGAGAATAAACAGTAAAACAAAAAAATCAGTTTTAAAATGAGAATGTCACATGCAATTTTCACAAGAAAATGACCTGCATTTCAGCTTTACTTTTATTTTTATGTTGCTTAGTTTTATATACATTATAGATATGATACATACATACTTGATATACAAAAAACTATACAAAAATCCAAGTAATTTAATAGCCAAAAAAGGGAGAGAGACACTGCATTTGATTTCTGGAACTATTCTGTTTAAATACTTTTAAAATTCATATTTCAAGGAGACAAAAAATCAAAAGCCATTAATTTTTCAGAAAGCTTTGTGTTCACATAAATTCATCATTCAAGTATATTTTTATTGAAACAATAAACCATTTGACTGGTTGCAAAGTCAAACTGAATAAACCACAATACTGAGCATAAGCAGAGCCTCCTTTAGCTCTCTGCTTTTATCAGCCTAGAATCAGCTTCTAACATATGAAATGCAGAGCACAACAGTAATTTGTAACCTTATGCTATTAAATGCCTATTATAGGGCTGACAATGTACAACATATCCTATACTGTCTGTAGATTCTCATTAAAAACATAATACTAAAAATAATAACAATAATTAGAATTTTACTTTTCCTAATTTCTTTTTTATTCACTTTGAAAGACAGTAGAGTTTTTTTTATTGTGCTTGGCAACTTGACATTATACCTAAAGAAATAATTTAAACAACCTATATAGAAATATATACATAAGCTTCTAAAAATTCTTGGTATTGCTTAGTTAATTCAGTTATAATCTCAGTTTTATAGTTATCAATCACAGCAAATATAAACAAGTTAAGATAATATTCCTCACCATAGTATTAACATGTTTTTAAAAAGTAAATTGTTGAAGCACAGAAACATTACATGATTTGCCCAAAGTAATGAAAGTAATGAGGGATAGATAAAAGGGCATTTTCCTTCTAACTTATTTCTTAGTCTTTACAAAACCCTTGGTCATTATATTCTATAAAATTAGCTCAGTGCAACAGATACAAAAATTAGATGCATTATTTAGGAATGTTTGTTTACCCTAAACTGCTGTTATTCATAAACTCAACTTTAAAAATGTAAATGGTTATCATACATTACAGGAATTTATAAAAAGAAAATGATCATTCTCTGAATTAAGCATATAACAAACTATTATTTAAATTTGACATAACTGATTGCAAACACCAAACCAATAATACAACTTTAAACAAACAAGTTCAGTGAAAGATGCTAACATGATTTTTAAAAAGATATTATACAGCCTATAAAATTTAAAAGAGTACTATAGACACAAACATATTAATACAAATTCATTAAATCATCTTCTAGTTGACCTCTTGTTTTCTATGAAAACGTTCTAACAAAGCACTCATAATGTTTCCTGGTATTCTTTGGTGCTTATCAATCAAAGCTTGAACAGCATTCTTTGTCTATTAAGAAAACAAAAGAAAAGCCATTGTTCTTTTAGTTCTCAATATAGATAATTTATTTTGTTACTACTTTCAAGAAGTCCTCCCTAATTAAACCCATCTCCCCTCAGAATTAATGATTTCCTTCTCAGTATACCCACACTATATTTCTTATACTTATTTTATTATACTTGAATCAGAGTTATTTTTCACACGGCTATTGTCTACACCAGGTTGTAAACTCCTTAAGACACAGCTTAGCATTTCTCCAGCAGTGAGCACAATAATGCCTTGTACACAATAAACACTAAAAAGAACTGAAGAAAAAAGTAGTAGGAAATTTTCTAGTAGGCAAATGGAAGTTTCACTCCTTTCCATCCATTAATAAATTTTTCTTCCATCACCATATGCACCAATTATTTTAGGCAATGCAGGAGGAAAAAGGGAGAGAAACTACAAATGAACTGATACACTTTATTACCTCAATTTTCAGACAGTTTAACAGGAATTTAAATTACAGTTATAGAAAAGTCAATTAGGATATATCAAGAAATCTTCCCAAACTATGTTTCCTATTAAATTCATTAATGAATTACAACTATTTTTACCTTAAATCAGTTATGGCTACCTAAAGAACATGCATACATGCCTCATTTTAGATGTTAATCATTCAGTGAGGCTTCACTTTACAAATCTTGGACCTTCTCTTGTTTTAATATAATTAATAAACCCTAGCCCAAAGATATGTTTTTAAAATGTGCTTCTTTAAAATAAACAAAATAGATAAGCCCTAGCCAGACTTATAAAAAGAAAAAGAGAATCCACACACATCAACAGAATCAGAAATGAGAAAGGAAAAATCACGACGGAACCCACAGAAATACAAAGAATTATTAGAGAATACTATGAAAACCTATATGCTAACAAGCTGGAAAACTTAGAAGAAATGGACAACTTGCTAGAAAAATACAACCTTCCAAGACTGACCAAGGAAGAAACAGAAAATCTAAACAGATCAATTACCACCAAAGAAATTGAATCGGTAATCAAAAAACTACCCAAGAACAAAACTCCTGGGCCAGATGGATTTACCGTGGAGTTTTATCAGACATACAGAGAAGACATAACACCCATTCTCCTTAAAGTTTTCCAAAAAATAGAAGAAGAGGGAATACTTCCAGACTCATTCTACAAAGCCAGCATCACCCTAATACCAAAACCAGGCAAAGACCCCACCAAAAAAGAAAATTACAGACCAATATGCCTGATGAACATAGACGCAAAAATATTCAACAAAATATTAGCAAACCGAATTCAAAAATACATCAAGAGGATCATACACCATGATCAAGTGGGATTCATCTCAGGGATACAAGGATGGTATAACATTTGAAAATCCATCAACATCATCCACCACATAAACAAAAAGGACAAAAATCACATGATCATCTCCATAGACGCTGAAAAAGCATTCGACAAAATTCAACATCCATTCATGAAAAAAACTCTCAGCAAAATGTATGTAGAGGGCAAGTACCTCAACATAATGATGACCATATGTGATAAACCCACAGCCAACATCATATTTAACAGCGAGAAGCTGAAAGCTTTTCCTCTAAGATCAGGAACAAGACAGGGATGCCCACTCTCCCTGCTGTTATTCAGCATAGTTCTGGAGGTCCTAGCAATGGCAATTAGACAAAACAAAGAAATGCAAGGAATCCAGATTGGTAAAGAAGAAGTCAAACTGTCACTATTTGCAGATGACATGATATTGTACATAAAAAACCCTAAAGACTCCCCTCCAAAGCTACTAGAACTAACATCTGAATTCAGCAAAGTTGCAGGATACAAAATTAATACACAGAAATCTGTGGCTTTCTTATACACTGGCAATGAACTAACAGAAAGAGAAATCAGGAAAACAATTCCATTCACAGTTGCATCAAAAAGAATAAAATACCTAGGAATATACCTAACCAAGTAAGTGAAAGACCTATATCCTGAAAACTACAAGACATGCTTAAGAGAAATTAAAGAGGACACTAACAACTGGAAACTCATCCCATGCTCTTGGCTAGGAAGAATTGATATTATCAAAATGGCCGTCCTGCCCAAAGCAATCTACAGATTCAATGCAATCCCTGTCAAATTACCAACAGCATTCTTCAACAAACTGAAACAAATAGTTCTAAAATTCATATGGAACCACCAAGACCTCGAAGAGCCAAAGCAATCCTGAGAAGGAACAATAAAGTGGGGGGTGGGGGTGGATCTTGCTCCCCAACTTCAAGCTCTAGTACAAAGCCACAGTAATGAAGACAATTTGGTACTGGCACAAGAATAGACTCACAGACCAGTGGAACAGAATAGAGACTCCAGATATTAACCCAAACATATATGGTCAATTAAATATGATAAAGGAGCCATGGACATACAATGGGGAAATGACAGCCTCTCCAACAGTTGGTCCTGGCAAAACTGGACAGCTACATGTAAGAGAATGAAACTGGATCATTGTCTGACCCCATACACAAAAGTAAATTCAAAATGGATGAAAGACCTGAATGTAAGCCATGAAACCATAAAACTCTTAGAAAAAAACATAGGCAAAAATCTCTTGGGCATAAACATGAGCGACTTCTTCATGAACATATCTCCCCAGGCAAGGGAAACAAAAGCTAAAATGAGCAAGTGGGACTATATCAAGCTGAAAGTTTCTGTACAGCAAAGGATACCATCAATAGAAGAAAAAGGCATCCTGCAGTATGGGAGAATATATTCATAAATGACCGATCTGATAAAGGGTTCACATCCAAAATATATAAGAGTTCACGCACCTCAAGAAACAAAAAGCAAAGAATCCAATTAAGAAATGGGCAGAAGCACTGAAGAGACAGTTCTCCAAAGAAGAATTTCACATGGCCAACAGACACATGAAAAGATGCTCCACATTGCTAGTCATCAATGAAATGCAAATTAAAACTACAATGAGATATCACCTCACACCAGCAAGGGTCACCATGATTCAAAAGACAAACAAAAAAAATGTTGGTGAGGTTGTGGAGAAAGGGGAACCCTCCTGCACTGCTTGTGGGAATGTAAATTAGTTCAGCCATTGTGGAAAGCAGTATGGAGGGTCCTCAAAAGGCTCAGAATAGAAATACCATTTGACCCAGGAATTCCACTTCTAGGAATTTACCCTAAGAATGCAGCAGCCCAATTTGAAAAAGACAGATGAACCCCTATGTTTATCACAGCTCTATTTACAATAGCCAAGAAATGGAAGCAACCTAAGTGTCTATCAGTAGATGAATGGATAAAGAAGATGTGGTACATATACACAATGGAATATTATTCAGCCATAAGAAGAAAACAAATCCTACCATTTGAAACAACACGAATGGAGCTAGAGGGAATTATGCTCAGTGAAATAAGCCAGGCAGAGAAAGACAAGTACCAAATGATTTCTCTTATATGTGGAGTATAAGAACAAAGGAAAAACTGAAGGAACAAAACAGCAGCAGACTCACAGAACCCAAGAATGGACTAACAGTTACCAAAGGGAAAGGGACTGGGGAGGATGAGTGGGAAGGGAGGGAGAAGTGTGGAGGGAGAAGAAAGGGGCCTTACGATTAGCATGTATAATGTGGGGGGGCATGGGGAGGGCTGTGCAACACACAGTAGACAAGTAGTGATTTTACAGCATCTCACTAAGCTGATGGACAGTGACTGATGGGGTATGTTGCGTGGACTTAGTGAAGGGGGGAGTCTAGTAAACATAATGTTCCTCATGTAATTGTAGATTAATGATACCAAAAAAAAGAATATGCTTCTCTAATCCATAAGTTCTCACACCTGTGAAATGAGAAATATTTTTTACAGTTATTATAAGGTCTACATGAAATTAAAACCATGTCTTCAGATTGGCACAATGACTAACACACAGGTTTTGTTCTGTGAAGTATAGTTTTAAAATTTATTCATTTAAATACCATACAACCCAGTAATTCAACTTCTAGGAATTTATCTGAAGAAAACAAAATCTCTGATTCAAAAAGACATATGCATCCCATGTTTATTGCCACATTATTTACAATAGCCAAGATATGGAAGTAATTAAACTGTCATTCAATAGATGAACAGATAAAGAAGATGTACATATACACAATGGAATATTATTCGGCCATGAAAAAAGAACTCCTACCATTTCCAAACAACACAGATGGATCTACATAATATTATGCTAAATGAAATAAGCCTGGTGGAGAAAGATAAATAGCATACGATTTCACTTATTTGTGGAATCTAAATACAAAACAAAATAAAATGAACAAAACAACAGTAGACTCATTGACACTGGGAGTGAATGGTGATTACCAAGGAAGAGGGCTTGGGGTGGGTGGGTGGAGGTTGAGGGAGATAATGAGGTACAAAATCTTAATCATAATATAAGTTCGTCACAGGGATGGATGGGCAGCATGGAGAATATAGTCAATGGTTCTGTAACATCTTCCTATGTTGACAGATAGTAACTGCACTAATTAGATAAGGATTTAATAATCTGTGTAACTGTTGGATCACTGTTTTCTACACTTGAAATCAATACAATATTGTGTATCAATTATACTTCAATAAAATATGTAAATATTCACTTATTCAAAACATATGAGGTGCTTTGTAAGCTATAGTAGCAAAACAACTCTAATCTCAAGGTGCTCATTACTTAATAGTCATAGTGAAGTACAAAGTAATTAAAATGTAAGATCATTTGTGAGACATATCAGCTGTGATGTGAAAGGAAAGTATTTGGAAGTTCAGACTTGAGAGCCCATTTGATGGGCAGTGACCAAGGAAGAGCACATGAACCAGACACATTTCGCCTGGGTCTCCAAGGATCAGTAAAGATTTCCGTAACAGAGAAGGAAGGAGCATGAAAACTAAGGAATGGAGAGTTGGTGAGTTAGGCTGGAGTTGCACATGTGTGTTCATAAGGTGGGTTTATTAGGCTTAAAATTAGG